ATCCAGACAAACTATTTCATCGATTATTTACCAACGAGTTGTGGTTTGAGTTGGGGGCAATGCGACTAAAACAGTAATTGAAATTCAGCACACTATTTTTTAAAACGCGTTGCTTGAATAAAACTGACCAGACACATTCAATTTACCAGACTATTGAACAACTAGGAAAAGTGAAAAAAATACTTCTTATCGCCAGCATAAATGCGTAATTATTTTTTTTACAGAAAAAGTAATTTTTCACCTTTGGTTGAGTAACGCGTCGTAGAATGCAGATACGGGCATGCAAAATACACTTGTGAAAAGCTTGAAGTCTGGCGATTCTAAAAATATATACTTTCCTGGGTTTATTTGTAGTCATTTAGTCACAATTAGTGGATGAAAACAAGTATGCAAATAATAGTCCCGCTACCTTAATTCGTACCTCCGTTCTTCTTAAAGAGATTTATTCCACTATGCTATACCATGGCTCAGACTAGTAACACAACTAGTCTAAGACCATGGGGGTAAAAAACGTTAACCTTCATGGATATACATGATGATTGGAATGCAATTGAAAGACATCGATTAAAATATAATTTAAGTACAAACTCAGGGACGGGGAGATTTTTGATTGGGTGGGGACTCACCTTTACAATGACATTATTTTCAATTTCCGAAATACATTATGAGATGATCTGCCTTTAAAATTATGTGTCAATATTCAGTACATGCTTTATTAATTCATCATTTTAATGTAACGGGTTTCTGTTTCGTTTCATGCATAAATACATACAAATTAGAATATAATTAAACAAAAGTTGAAATTTAAAAGACCCAAGATTGGAGTTGAATTTGTGTTTTTATCGACTGAATTTGAATATATTACTTATTTATGAGCAAAGTGACTATTAGAGTTTGGTTTATGTTCATGGCGTGCAATAATAATATTACCACTGATTATGACACATTTGAAAACTTATGAAGCAGATAGTATTACTCGGATTTGTATTCTTCCTTTTAAATAACACAAATTGTACTTTATTTAGCAGCTGAACAATTATCATCTCCAATATATCACATGATTTGTGACGTAGCGATATAGTGTAAAAGCAGATGCAGAGACCGCACACATCACGTGATCGATATCGACCAATTGAAACGTATCTGCGAACACCATGGACAGACTGATGGCTTTATTGAAGTATACAGAATTCTTATACAATTCGGAAATACTGTAATTTTGGGAATTTCATCGCAATCAAGGTGCCGAATTAGTGATATACCTGTTTTCCCTTGAACGAATTCGGTGTTTTCCCACAGAATTAGGTAAGTTTTTTCTCTACGTCATTTTAGTATAACCGACCGCACCTAAATAATATGTTCGTCAAATTGCGTGTGTCAATATTCATGTCTGTTTTTTAGGGCAAATGTACCAAATTTTACCCCTGAATTGAATATATTACAATTTATATATAAAAATTAGAACCATATTGGTATTGTCAAGGAAAATTGCTCAGCAACAAATGATGCGTGATTTTCATGTTGTGGTAGATCGTATTGTAAATGGAAACACTAAATTTTCATTTATTTATATATTTTCTGTGATTTGTTCAATTAAACTTATAAAATAGAATAATGCATTAATCGGAGTGGGCACGAATGGCGTAAATATTGCCAGCCGATGTCGTCTTCTATTTATGCTAATATCCGATCGACTCGGAAATCAATAATTCATATTTTAAACCCAATAGAACGTAGAAGGAGAATATTCATTGGGTTTATTGTTTAGCGGATTAGAAACTGCATGGATATTAACCAAGTTTTAAATTCACTGGTTTGTGTGTAGGAAACAAAACATTCTAATACTGTAAAGGGGGTAATTATTCACTGGGTTTTAATTTAGCTTATTTCGCTGAATGGAAAAATGCGCTAAATTAAAACCCAGTGAATATGTAAAATTTAGTTTATTACGTGAGTTTATTACAATACTGGTCAATCTTACATTGAGAAATTACTATCATATTGTTATAAATGCATTCACCTCTGGGTTCCCAGATGAGAACTACGGGTTTTGTGTATGTACAATTATAAACCACATATATTTTATGGAAGGAATTTATTATACCGACAAAATATGTCAAATATGGTCATACAACTTCGAATCATTTGGAAATTCGAGTACGTGTCATGACGAGGATTCAATTGCGACTCATGGTTCATCACTCCAGTTTAGTGTAATGAGTCACTTGTATAGCATACGGAAATAGAAACACATGTACGCATTAGTCTGAAAACGCCACGTGACCAAGCACTCCACCACTGACTTTTAAATCCCATAAGTATCACTTGGTTTTGAGTCACACAAATAATACTGGTACTTGGTCTGAAAGAGAAAAACAAAATTATTCTTTAATCGTTAGCGTTTATAATAGCGCCGCGTCGTGTTCGTTATGCGTGGGTCCCATGCGACAACGCGTGTAAAATGTAGTGGTTGTTTACACGTAATTCGAAAAAGTTTTGCGTGACTGTAATGCTTCAATGTGTATTGGTATGTATAAAAGTCATTGATTTGTAGCTGCAAGCATTTGTAAATGAAATAACGTCTCGGAAATTACCCATACAAACCATTATGCCATTATATTTTCTCGCTTTCAAGACTACTTTGTTCGCTCGTCTCGTCCACCAGGATCAACTCATCGTTTCTGTCTTTCCATGATATGTCATCTTTTTTTCGCAAAATAAGAATGATGTAGTTGTCTATCACCTTCAACAAAAATAGAAAATTGTTAACGTAATTAATTCATTCTATATCTTATACGCGAATACGATTATACTAAAACTAAATGACGGTGGTGTACCAGGTGGTTGCTGGTAGTGGCCACATGTCTAGCACACAGTAACGTGATGATTTAGTTAATGATGCATCGGTAAGCACGATTGAACTATTTCTTATTACGATTAAATATATAATACAGATTGACGCAGGCACTGTTCCATGCGATATTTAATGAGCTCTTGATTAGAGGATTAAGATTAGTCATTAACTCTAGAATATAAATTCATTATTTCACATAATACGTAAACGACATCACCTTATATCGACAATATCGCCTCCTCCATACACTTCTAGTCGGGTTGCAGTCACCTATGATATCTTTATTCAGTTCCTTATCATTGAGCGCGAGTTTGTAATCTCCGAGCTCACCAGTCACGGTCAGATTTAAGGACCTGTAAAATATTACCAAAACGCCCTCTAGCGACAGAACGCATGAGTAAGGTAATGGGAGACGTGACGACCTTCGGCGTCGAAAATGTTTTGAAAGGTTGTCGTCTGTCAATGCAAAACAATTTTTTCGAGATTTTCAATATTTTAAACTAAGAAACGACTGCACAACCAGACACCGTTTGACGCTTTGGACTACATTGCTTTCGCCATCCATGTCATTTGACGTAATAGAAGCGGTTCGCCACTAGAGGGCGCGACATATAGAGAAGATTAATCCGGGTAATTATTTTCAATTTAACCTTGCACTTTACATGATCACATGATGCATTGTTTGAAAGACAAGGTTTCCTCAAGAAACTCTAAAAAGCAAAACCTAGAATAAATTGCGAGAATACGCGCAGAGCACTTTTAATACGCTTGATGGAAGGGGAGGGTGTGTGGGTTTCTCCATGCTTTACTGAATTTACATTCAACAGAAGATTTTTTGTGGTGGCGAGAGAGTTGTGTCCATACCTGTCTTGAAACGTTACATGTATTGGTATTCTACGTCGTTTGACTTTTAACCACGTGACTCCTGTCAGACGTATCTTGATATATACATACCAACGTTGTTCGGATGATTCTAAAATAGTATCATATCAATTATATTATTACATATAATCCAAATTTTGGCATGAAAATATGAAACTCAATACCTAATACTTATATATACTATTCGGTATTCCGAACGAGTGTGACGTCATCGGAAACGAGTCCAAGACGACGTCACACGAATGAGAAATACCGGAGATTTATATATTTTATAATATTCGTAGATATAGTTTCTCCAATTTGATTAAAATCTGATGT